TGTCCTCTATTTATTCCCATAAAGGAAATCCAGGCCATGAAGAATGCATAATTTAACCCAGAAACAGTTCCTTCTCTTTTTTGCACAGAGTCACTCTCATGGAACCTTCCTGTAAGCTAATTGGATGTGTTCCTAGTTATGGGTTTCTCTAGCTCTGGTGTGTCCCATCACCTGTAACTTTTTTTTAAAGATAAAATTGTGAATAATTACTTCCTTCCCAGGGGGCTATTCTGTATTCATAAATGCATCTCACAGTGCCTCCACATTGGAAGCTTCTCATCACCTGCCTCATCCTGCATTCTGTTTAGAATATGTCGTTTAAAAATACTTTGACCTTTAAGCCATTGTTCAGTTATATCACTAGTAAATAATGGGGCATATTTGTTAGAAATACTTGATAAGCTTCTAGAATTGTTGCAAAAGTGAAGATACTTTGATCTTAATTGGCTGTATGACTTATTTTTGTATTACTGTTACTAACATAGTTTTGAATCTTTTGAATATTAGGAAAGCAAAATCTGTATGTAGTGACTTACTGTATCCTGACTACTCTCTTTTTCTGTAAAACAGTGATAATAATATCCAACATTTACGGAGAGCTAATCTACTCAATTTATATTAAATTATATTTATATTTAATCCTCACAAACTAATGAGGTAGAGATTATTATTTTTTCCCCATTTTATATTTGAGAAAATTGAGGCTAGGAGCAGTTACTTGCCCAAAGTCACACAGCTTAGTAAATTGCAGAGCCAGGATTCAAAACCAGGCAGTTTGGGTTGAATCAAATGATTTCTAAGTTCATTTCTGGCTTTATTTTCTGTGATTTTGAGCAAAAGTCTTTGACTAGTGAGTGAGTAGTGGAATTAGATGAAGATTACATGTTGTTAGCTTCTGAGCAACATTCTTGTGCCTGAGGTAGCTTTGGGAGTGTTTACTGGGAGAGAAGATGCTCTCTGCTCCCTTTGCTCTTGCTCAGTGCAGCAGTAGTCAGCTTCCACTGAAGATGGATGACATTTTAATTTGTAAACCTTTTTAGGATGGTAGTGTTAGCCAGTGCCATTCTGTAGATATGGAGAAAACATTAAAGATTCTCCTGCAACATCATTTTATCTACTTGGCTTTATTTGGGGAAGAAATCTAGACATAAGCAAGTAAAAATGGAAAGAGACCACAGAAATCATCTTATTCTATCCCTTCTTCACTTTTCATGGGGCTAGATGATTCCACTAAGGTAACTAGTGGTTGCAGACAGAACTACAATCCTAGATTACCTCATTTTAGTCTAGTACCTTCTGAAATGATATGCCGCCACCCTTAGTAGACTTTTTTTTTTTTTTTTAAAACAGGGTCTTGCTTTGTTGCCCAGGCTAGAGTGAGTGCCGTGGCGTCAGCCTAGCTCACAGCAACCTCAAACTCCTGGGCTTAAGCAATCCTCCTGCCTCAGCCTCCCGAGTAGCTGGGACTACAGGCATGCACCACCATGCCTGGCTGATTTTTTTCTATATATATTAGTTGGCCAATTAATTTCTTTCTATTTATAGTAGAGACGGGGTCTCGCTCTTGCTCAGGGTGGTTTCGAACTTCTGACTTCGAGTGATCCCAGAGTGTTAAGATTATAGGCGTGAGCTACCGTGCCCGGCCCCTTAATAGACTTTTAATATTTAATTAATTACTTGCCTATTTAGGAAGATTAGGAAGATTGTGCTTATTACAGCCACTTACATTTGTTTAAAACTTTTGTTTGCTTTGAATTTACCTTTTTTTGTTTTATCTGTGGAATTATTATAAGATTCTGGGGTCTTTTTTAATGCAATGCTGCCACTCTCTGGTTATGGGGTAGTACTGCATTAGGAAATCCAATATTCTTTGACTGCATTTGTAAAGTCTAATATTAGGAGTCATAAATCTAGGTACAAATAAATGAACAGCAGTTTATTTGTGTGTAATCAATAAGTGTGCACAGGTCAGAAGATAATATAGATATTATACCTCAGAAGGGTACCAGAATTGCTGGCTTGGTTGTGAAAAATGGATATAGTACAATTGCAAGTTACGGTACCTAAAAGGTATTTCTGTTGCCCTTTAGGTTTTCACATATCTTAAATGTGTCTCAAAATACATGGCGGTGTAGATTTTAAAACGTGAGTCCTAGTAGATCCAGATTCTTATGTGTTCTAATAAGTAATTCATTACTGAAAGCCTTGAAGCTTGTATTAGTAGTTCAGTGACGAGAAACCACTGTCATCCCCTGCAGGCAGCCATGTTCTGGTGAGGAAATAACTCCTACAATTCTCAGCAAAATTCTTAAAAGTTTTCTGTGAACTATTGGTTATAATCCCCTGCTAACAGTGGAAGTAACATTTCTTTGAGCACCTACTCAGTTCCAGATGCTTTTTTTTTTTTAGGTCTGTGAATAGTTCTTTTAGATAGGTTTCAATACTTCCATTTTACAGAAAAGAAGAGATATGGAGAATCTTGGGATCATGCCCAGAGTCATGTGCCTGGGCAGCAGTGGAGTTGGGATTTGAATGGCAACAGGCTTTCCCATTTTCTTTCTAATAGTCCATATTCCCTGCCCTGTAGTGCTTGAGCCAGGTTTTATTCTTACCATTCCACCTTTGCTTTCTTTAGAAAACAAAACAAAATGAAAAAGGCTAGTGGTTTTCAACTGGGGATAATTTTGTTCCCACAGAGGACATTTAGCAATGTTTAGAGACATTTTTGGTTGTCGGAACTGGAGGATGGGTGCCACTGACTTTTAGTGGTTGGAAGTCAGGGATGTTGTTAAATGTCTAACAGTGTACAGGGCAGACCTCCCACAACAAAGAATTATCTGGCCTAAATGTCAATAGTGCTGAGATTGAGAAAGTCTGTATTAGACAGTATAATTTACTTGAGTGAATTTATCCTTGAGCTCTGCCAAACGGGCTCTGCCCCTTCCCCTGGTTTATATTTTTCTTTCTGTGATGAGCAGTCTCATCCTGGTCCTGCTTTTTTATCATCCTTCCTAGAGAGGAAACTAGGTTTTCTAGGGAAGGAAAAATAATTTTTTCTCTACCTTTCTAAGTTCTTGGCAAAACAATCCTGTGCCAAAGAGGCATATTTTGGGTGGCACATTCTGGTCTCCTACACTTTCTATCTGCTCTCCCATGTCCTGGTGCTTTGTATGTCACTGCATGTGCGTGTGGTCAGCATTAGAGTTAGAAGACCTCAGGTGTCCTGTAAGCTCTCTAAAGGAGAGCTTATAAATTCTCTCCTAAATTCAGGATTCAGATTCTTTTCAATATTAATCCATAATGTCTTCCTGTATTGCATGCTGATGGACCATGTGGGTCTGGATATATTCTATACTTGGTCTATCTTTATGTCTTTCTTGGGTCTCCTCCTCTGCCTAGAAAGAATCCATTAAAACTTCTCCCATTTCCCCCCCCCCAGGTCAGATATTACCTCCCTCTAATTCCCTGCTGAAAGTAATCGCTCCTTCTCTAAGCTTCTGCATAAAACATTCCATTTGTTTAGCATATTTGTTTGATCTCTTTTTCCAATCTGTGATATAAGGAGTGTGGAATGATTTTTTGTCATTAGAGTTTTTTATGTAAAAGTACAGAATGAATAAAAACTAAAGAGTACCCATCATGTAGGATTGTGCCTGTATACAGTCTGTTTTATTCAAAACAGTGATGATGCTCTATTTTTGTAGGCATGTCTGTTTGACATAATTAATTGCAAAGTAAAAATCTTGGTGTTTATGATATTTACTTTGTAACAGCACTTACATTTGAGTTTTGTTGAGACTTGTGGCAGTTTTTTTTTTCTTTCTGATTCTATAAATTAGGTGTTTTAGCAAATGTTTTTTGGAACTTTTCTCATCTTTTAGTTAAAGCAGGAAGCATCTTCATTAAAAATCAGGGCTCTTTTGACATATTTTAGAATTTAACAATCTGCTTTATAAATATGAGGCATATCTTGAATTTTAGGTCTCATTCATTTCTGAGCAATGGGCATGTACTGAGAAGGCAGAGACTGCTAAAAAGGAGTGATACAGCATTCATCTTGGGGAAGTCTGTTATGGCCCCACTAGTGTTGGAAAAGTATTTTATGAGACATGGGAAACCTTAGTGCACTCCCTGTCAAGATCTTTCACGACCAGGCACACAGAGATGATCTATCTCAAGCTATATCCCTATAACTTTCGAATGAAATGGCAATATGTGATCTCTTTTTCTTGGAACAAACTGGGAACAAACTTAACCTTTAGGGATAACATGGTTAAGTGTCTTACAAACAATTCACAGGACCACAATCATCATAGAACTCTTCATTATTGATGAACAATCCAGTATAAGCTGTTCTATTGTCAGGAGACTTGACAATAAATAAGATGGGATCCCTGCTCTTTGGACTCAATAGTACCTTCATCACCAACCATACTTTGCTATATTGGTTTGGCATATAGCAATAACTGTGGCGAAAAAGTGGAGGGAGGCTTTAATTCAGTCTGGGTGATAGGCAAACCTTGGAGAGGAGAAGATTTTGTGCCAGGCCTTGCTAGGTAAGTTCTTTCTAGCTTATTGTCCTTAATGAGTCTTGATGGTCTGCTAACACTGATTATAAATATTTACCAAAGTGATTATGGATTAAGATAGAAGGATATATTCATGTAGTATTATATAGTTAATGTTAAATTAAAATGTAATATTGAATGAATTACTTAATCAAACTGGGGAAATACACAGATTTACAGTTGATCTCCTATGTTTCCTGAAATAAGCCACTCTGAGGGGTAAGGTGAAAGGGGTGCTGTGGCTAGGACTTTCTAAAAAAACTAAAATTTGACCTTATAATTGACTTATGTGTTGTTGTGGTCCTGGTGGTAATTGTGTGTCTCCCTATCAACCTGTCCACCTGTTTACAGGGGCTTTTTGGCCATAGGTATGATAGACACTTGTGGACACCTGAAATCCTGTTCCTAATGCTGTTAGATTTTCCTTTTCAGAGTAAGAGGGACCATCTACTCATGAACGTCAAATGGTACTACCGTCAGTCTGAAGTCCCAGATTCTGTGTATCAGCATTTGGTTCAGGATCGACATAATGAAAATGGTAAATATGTCCTTCTGGTTTGATTCTTACATTTCTTAGCTTTGGCCAAAGTTCTTCGCATTCATTATATGGACATAACCACTATGGTAAATTTTCTCTGTAAAAGCTTTTTATAAATAACATTACTGGAATTGCCCCCATCTCCACCCCCAGTTCTTTCATTACTTTGGCTTTTTATTTTAAACCTCTGAACATGTGCTGATAGTAATTCCCTTTAAACTTGTGATAGAGATAGATCTTTTTTGGAAATAACAATTTTCATTTTTTAATTCCTTTTTCTCATCTAGTGATGAACAAATAATATTTAAACCTCTATAGAATTATATGTGTATATGTGTGTATATTTTCTTTTTTTCATCTAGTGATGAACAAATAATATTTAAACCTCTATAGAATTATATATATATATACATATATATGTGTGTGTGTGTGTATATATTTATATATATTTTCCTTTTTTGTCTGTATTATTGAACTTCTCTGAATTCAGGATTGTGAACTTCAGTTTTCAAAACAAAGCTTTCTGAGTTATGTTTCAGAATTCAGCTTGATTCTTGACTTTCAGAACAATAGGGAAGTATTTCTAGGCAACTTTACTTTTTTCTCCTTCTGGCATTGTAGTTTCTGCTCAATAACTTTATTGACACATGAGATATGTACATAATTTGTATAATTATGATTGGGCAGATGTATAATAAATAGCTTTAAAAAAATTGATTCTTGATAGGTGGTAGGCCTCATGCTAGGTGATTTTTGTCACCCATTAATCATACGATGTAGGTTTTGTTACTCCCTAGTTCTAGATAAGGAAATTGAGGTTGAGAGATGCTAAGGGAGTTGCAGAGGCCATGCATCTTCTAAGTGGTGGTGCTAGGGCTGGGATCAGATTCTGTCTGGCCCTGATGCCTGTGCTCTTCCCACTCTTCCCACTGCTTTTGCTGATAGATTTTGAATCAACAAATCAGTAGTCAAAAATAATTTTGAAGGATTTTTAAAAAAAATTTTACTGTTGTTTTTTTTTCCCTTCCATGGAACTATAAAAACTTCTGTTAAGGCATGGTTCCTTGTTAAAAGTAGTAACTTGGCTGTGCTTTTCAACTGAAAAAGTATGTGATTTCACTTTATTTTGGAATATTTAGCAATAAAAAATAAGAACGGATAGGATCACCTAATATTTTAGTAGTTGACGAGTTGTTAGGATATGATAGTTATTTCTGCTCTTTTTTTCATTTTGTGCTTAGGCAGTCTAATAAACTGTAGGAACTTAATAAAGGGTATAAAACCTAACCAACAAGATACTTCATTAATTCACAAAACCTGTATACTGTTCTTGTTATTCTGTTATATATATATATTATTGCTGTTTTCTATTTTGTATACTTTGATGCTAACCAGGCCTGGTTATTTATTGTGCTTTCTCTAGAACGAGGTACACATGAAAGAAAGTTCTGCAACAATTTCCTACTTGTTTTGGGAAACTGAATTTTAATGTCCTCTTAATTAACGAATTTTTTTTTTTGACAGACTCTGGAAGAGAACTTGTCATTACAGACCCGGTTATCAAGAACCGAGAGCTCTTCATTTCTGATTATGTTGACACTTACCATGCTGCTGCCCTTAGGTAAGTACCAGAGATGTGGTTTTCATCTGAAGAAATTATTGAATATGGGCGGTAAAAAGGCTAATCTATCCTGATCTCTTTTGGTAATCATTATATTAATCAGACTACTGCCATGGTCTCAGTAAGCTTGCATTCCAGTGTCAGTTCTGGATTATTAAAGTTTTAGAGGTTACCTGTATCTTCACTAATCTGGCTTTATCTTTCTCTATTTTTTTTGTGTGTGTGTGTATAATTTAGTTTTTTATACCCCCCTCTATATTATCATATCTTTATTTCCTTGAAAGTTATCATCCTGCTATTATTTACTATAGTTTGTGATTTAGAGTTTCAGTTAAATAAATATGTGAGGTATGTAACTGGTTATTCAACATATTTTGACATAATTGCTTAAGATGAATATATTTGAGTATTTATCAATGCCATTCAGATTTATAGAATCATTTTTATCTCATTTTAGCATTTTTGCAAGAATAAGTTATTTTAGATAATTCCGGCTGGACCCAGATGAATTTACTCTAGCTAGGTTTACAGTTGTTTTCTGGAGATAAGTTGTTATGTAAGTTACTGACCTTTCACTGGCTACTACAGTGAAAGGGTACTAAAGTGGTACTACTAGATCTTCTTTTCACTGGGTATATGACAAGAACCTTTACTAATTAGAACTTTTTTCCTGTGGCATTTTCTTTAAAGTCATCATAAAAAGTGGTAGATGTTTTATAAAATTTTTATCTTAAATTTGATTTTGTTGGCTTCAAATACAGCATCCTTTTTGTAACTTGACAATTGGATCTTTTCAGAGACATCAGCTGATAAGTGCTCACTTTCTTACTGAATGATTTGGCCTAGTAGGTATTCGTTAAATACTTGCTGGCACTGCCAGCAGCTGGTGCTCATCTGTGTCCTTCTTCCTATTGCTCAGCGATCCCACCTCATTCTCAGCAGCATTGTTCTCATTGTGAAAGCAGCTTTGGGTTGCCTGTCAGATCACCTCTGATGAAACAGAATGGAGCAGCAGTGTACCCGGGATCTCTGTTTATTTCTTTTCTCTTCACCAGGGCTAGATTACTTTAACTTAAAAATATTTGATGTCTGTTTGGTGGGGGCGAGGGGAAAGGATTAAGCTTTGACTTTTTCTTCCAATTTTTCTTTTCACGGTTTATCCACAGAAAGATTTTTTTCTTTCTCCATAGGTATAAACCAGTACTACCAAAAATAAATTCAATTTTGAGAGAGACACAAATAAAATAGTCTGTAGGCACATGAAAGGGGATCAAATGAATGTAATAGGGGGGGAAAAACCAAGGAGAACAAAAAAGAAAGAGACTGATAATGTTAGTGCTTAGCACTATTCTTCTCAAAGATCAAAGAGCTCAGTTATATGAATTCATCCAGCTCACAGTAACTCTGAGGGGGCTCTTGTCATTCCATTCACTCAGGAGGAAACTGATGTATAAGTTTCTCTTTCAAGCTGATGTTAGAGTTGGGTTATGAAAGAGGAGAGAGAGCTTTGTCCTTTAGCCATCATGAATCAAAAGGAAAACAAAATTCCTCTATAGCCTCTTCTCCGTAAATTGTGAGATTGTAGCTTTTCCCTACCTAAAGTGAGGGACTTTACTCAGAATAGACTGTGATGCCTTCACAGTTGTAGAAATATGTGTTGAGGTGCCTAGCATTACTGCCATTTTTGAATGCTTGACCTTGGCTGTCACTACCTTTCAAGCTAAATTTCTAGAACTGCTTGTTTTCTTTATTATACTCATCGATAAATGCCATATTACAGTTAGCATCTTGAGCAGAGTGTTTTTTGAACTCACCGTATTCTCAGGTAAGCATTTTTAGTTGGCTTGTGAAATCAGAAGACGTCAGTTTGAATCCTGGCTTTGCCACATAGCTTTGTGACCAGGGTTAAGTTTATTAAACTTTGAGCTCTTCTTTGACAAATGTATTCAAGGTCAGATGGCTAAGTGACAGAATCCTGAATGTCTCACTCATTCTGGTCAACATCCAGTAGGAAAAAGTGTGTGAATGCTCTTCACAGAGCTTCTAACACTCAGACTGATATCTTAGTACTTTGCATAGTACTTTGCTCATTGAATCTCAGCTGGGTTCTTAGAAGTATAAAAGGAAGGAAAAAAATGAAATTAAATGTAATTTTGTACTGAGTTATTGATGATCCAGTTCTTCAACACCCACTTATTTTATTTCTCTGTGGCCTGTTGGATGGATTGATTGGATATTCAGATATTTTAGGTATAAGGAGAAGAATTTAGCTCAGGGAGCCATCTGGGGTTGTTCCGAGAATGAGCAGATAATCTGTAGCTTGCAGTTTGTTTGTTTGCTATGTTACTTTTTTCCCTCTGAGGGTAATGTTTTATTGATGGTCTAAGGATGTGAAGTGATTGATTTGAGATTGAACTGAGAACATGTGACCTGGGGAACATTCTCAGGTTTCCTGTGCACTTGTATCAATGCATTCTCCAGTATTGATTGTGGAAGGCGGCACAGGATATCCTAAATGTCTCATTGGCTTAGGGCTGTTTTCCAGCTTTCTGATTTTCTGCTTCCTATGTTAAGCAGTCACTTGGGAAAAAACATCCTAAGGTAGGTCAGATCATAAGCTATGATCTTACCTAGAGATTCATATTATAGGAAGATATTTTAAGATGGATTCTCTGGAAGACCAGGGCCAAGAGACCATAAACTAGGTCTTTTGTGCTTCTAATCTCCTTTTTCATCTTGAATTAATTTATCTCTTTACTTTATTATGGACAGCTAGAATCATACATATGTTTAGGGATTGAGATAGATGAATTATATCTATGGACAATTTCATAACCATTTCTTAGCATTTAAAAAATCCTTTAGCTTCTGCAAGTTCCCTAAGGAGTTTCATGTTGTCTCAGAGCTCTTAGTTTTGCAGTTTAAGATTCACTTTCTGGTTTTAATCCATGATTGTTTTTATATGTGACATAACTTTGACCTACAGCATTTTATCATTTGGTCTATACATGCTTAGTACTTAATTAGGCATCATAACCTACAGATTCCTTTGTTTATTCATTCATCATTTAATGCCTTATTGATCTAGTAGTAATAGATGAAGGGCTCTGTACTGTGGTGAAAACACCTAATAAGATACTCTTTACCCAGGCTAAAGTACAGTAGCATGATCATAGCTCATTGCAGCCTTCAACTCCTGGGCTCAAGGGCTCCTCCTCCCTCAGCCTCTGAAGTAGGTAGGACTATAGGGTGCATCACCATACCCCACTAATGTTTTAATTTTTTGTAAAAATGGGGTTTTACCATATTACCCAGGCTGGTCTTCCTTATGCCTCAGCCTCCCAAAGTGCTTGGATTATAGGCGTGAGTTACTGTGCCCAGCCTAAATTTTGTTTTTTTTTTATTTGGAGCTATTTTTAGACACACAGAAAAGTTACAAATACTGAGTTTCCATATATTCCTCCTCCAACCTCTCACAATGTGAACATGTTCTGTAACTATAGTACAATGGTCAGAACCAGGAAATTAATATTGATACAATACCACTAAAGATTGCTTGAATGTCAACAATGTACTTTTTTTTTTTTTTTTGAGGCAGAGTCTCATTCTGTTGCCCCAGGTAGAGTGCAGTAGCATCCTCATAGCTTACTGCAACCTCAAACCCCTGGGCTCAAGAGATCCTCAGGCCTCAGCCTCCCGAGTAGCTGGGACTACAGGCACTCGAGATGATGTCCGGCTAATTTTCCTATTTTTCGTATAGAGCGGGTCTTGCTCTTGCTCAGGCTGGTCTCGAACTTCTGAGCCGAAGGGATCCTTGGCCTCGGCCTCCCAGAGTGCTAGTATTACAGGCATGAGCCACTGGGCCTGGCCCAACAATGTACTTTTTTGGTTGTTTTTTTTTTTTTTTGAGACAGAGTTTCTGTTGCCTGGGCTAGAGTGCTGTAGCATCAGCCTAGCTCACAGCAACCTCAAACTCCTGGGCTCAAGCAATCTTTGTGCCTCAGCCTCCGGAGTAGCTACAGGGACTACAGGCATGTACCATCATGCCTGGCTAAATTTTTCTATATATATTTTTAGTTGGCCAATTAATTTCTATTTTTAGTAGAGATGGGGTCTCGCTCTTGCTCAGGCTGGTTTAGAACTCCTGACCTTGAGTGATCCTCCCGCCTAGGCCTCCCTGAGTGCTAGGATTACAGGCATGAGCCACCATGCCTGGCCACTTTTTTGGTTTTTTTGTTTTAGGATCCTATTTGGGATCCCACATTGCATTTAGTTAGTTATCCGTAGTCTCCTGCATTTTGTAATGGTTCCCCAGTCTTTTCTTGCCTATTATGACCTTGTTACTTTTAAAGAGTATTGATTAATTTTTTTGTCAAATGTCCTTCACTTTGGCTTTGCTGAAGTTACACATTTTTGGCAAGAATATTGCAGAAATTGTATGTGTCTGAGTATATCTTATCATGGGCTTTGTGAGGTTGATATTGCTAATTACTGGTGATGTTGACCTTGACCACTTGATTAATGTGGTTTCTGCCAGGTTTCTTAACTGTAAAGCAGCTTTTCTCCTGTAGTTAATTAACTTGGGGGAGATACTTTGAGACTATGCAAATTATTTCCCTTCTTAAACTTTTACCCAGTGATTTTAGCATCTGCCAGTGAATTTCATCTGCCACAGTTATTACTATTGTGCTGGCTGCTGGTGGTTTTCTATTTTTCCTCTTTCCTTCTACGTTTATTAATTGGAATTCTGTAGGAAAGAACTCTCCGTCCTTCCACATTAATCTGTTTAATCAAATATTTATATCATCATGAATGTGTGCATATTTATCTTGTTGGTTATAATTTAATATTATCATTATTGGTTTTATTGCTCAAATTGTTCCAGCTTTGGCTATTGAGAGCTACTTCAGATTGGCCCCTTTGTTTCTTTTAGCAAGCTTCCATCTTTATTTTTGAGCACTTTATTATTTTCTGACTCCACAAGATGTTCTCAGACTCAT